TTTTTCCTGGCGACTAAAGTGATTTTTTTTGTAGCCTAAGGGAACTTTCCTTTTCAGTGTTTATTTTATGGGTATTTTATGGTAAAACACTTTGAAGAGAAGTTGATACTTTCTGGAGAGCATAATACACTTCACCCTCATTATTATGCTGTTCTTCAGAGCTGAGGAGCATTATAGAGATTTGATGATTCATTATGGGGTTCAGTGTTGTGAACAGCCATAGTACAGTATGCATCCGAAGAAGTGGGCTGTAGCCCACGAAAGCTTATGCTCTAATAAATTTGTTAGTCTCTAAGGTGCCACAAGTACTCCTGTTCTCTTTGCGGATACAGACTAACACGGCTGCTACTCTGAAACCTAAAATATTACTGTTATCACAGCCACGGAATGTATTGAAATCAAGTACTTAGAAAGCTCATGTGCACAACATAATTATCACTTACTTGTGTACACAGTGTTTCTTGTGCCTACTTTGTTCCTGAATTGTGCTCAGCATCTGTATGGTGAGATATGATCTCTTTATGCTTTTTGCATTTAGTCTTGTGAAGTACACTCCTTCAGAAAATTGTAACACATGTAAATCTTTACTTGCAAATGAACTATATTTCATTTGTATGCTTTAAGAAATCCATGTATGTTTGTTTGTCTTCGGAAGAGCATTTCAGGTTTCTTCACTCATTTTATTCCTGAAAGCTGATGTGATTTATGAGTGTTCTAGAATATGAGTGGGAACAGATAGCTAATTTGTAAATATTCTGCACAACAAATTTTGGATGGAGCTTATTGTTTTTTGGCTTTCTGTTATCTTTGTAGGAATGGTTACAGAACTGACTTTTCTCTCCCACACCTCCTTCCTCCCTTCTCCCACACAAAAAATGACAAGCAGCAGGAAATCTAATGAAGCACATACAATTTTTCTCTCCAACCCGTTTCCCCTCTTTTCTGTTTTTTAACTCCATTTTAAGGCATGACACTTGGGTCTTGTTGAGAGCTGCATTGCAAATATTCTAGATCTCAGGAAACCATAACTCAGAAATTTGGAATATTTATGAAGTTGCTCTATAGTTCTTTCAAAGATTCTCTTTCCTTTTCAGAAGCACATAAAACACTTTAGGTAAACTGGGTATGTTTAATTACAATAAAGGGATCTCTCTTTTTTAGTTTATCTGGTTGTAGAATTAGGTGTTAAATATAAACATTTTTTCAAAAACATGAGGAATATTTAATCTTTGTTAATTGATCCACACTGAGACAAGCCAAATATTTTTAAATAATGAGGTGTACTGGCATTCCCACTGCCAAAGAATTTGAGAGCATCACTTGAGCTACCTTTCTAAAATTAGAGACTAACAAATTTATTAGAGCATAAGCTTTCGTGGGCTACAGCCCACTTCTTCGGATACATCCTGTTCTCTTCGGATGCATCCGAAGAAGTGGGCTGTAGCCCACGAAAGCTTATGCTCTAATAAATTTGTTAG